GTCTTCTTCACTCTGACTGTGACCTGAGTAATCTGATTCCTGTGAAACAGCTCCAATCAAACTGGAGCAGATTAAAAAGTCAGAGAAGATAACAATAATAAAAAAAGAATTTAACAGCTTTTAAATAAACTAATTATTAAAACTATGTTTTCCTGAGGTACTAGAAGTCAGTTTAGCAACAAGATCTTTTCTGCTATGAATAGAGAGCTATCAGTTTGGGCTATCAGAAGTCTCACAGGATTTTTTTAATGGCAGTTTTTAGTTCAGGTAAACACTATCCTAAATTCCATTCTAACTCCTTTAGTTTATATTTTCAGGTACCTACTAAAATTCTAAAACCAGTAAAGAAAATAATTCTTCTTTGCCATTCACTTGTTTTTAACTCACAACATTAAGAAGTTGCAATGGCTGATCAGTAGAAGCTCCTCAAGAATTTGTTCATTAAAAAAATCTGATCACTGGGGCTGACTACCAAGACCAGGTACAGAATTCTGATCCCCGAGCTACCGAGCTACTGTAAGAGTTGGCACAATTCCCTCTGGAGGCAAGGTCAGGCCTAAATGCATGCAAATCCCAGGGTCTGAAGACGTATGTTAGGCTGTAAGACAAAACAGAAATCTCTGCACTGAATTCTTTCTTAATCAGCACATGAAGGTCTCATGAATAAAGCAGCGTTGTAATTCATCACTATGAGAAACAAGCATTCTAATAATTTCTGTATGATTTGGGGAAATGTGCATAAAATTTGCCTGTTTGATTAATGATATGGAATGATACAACTGCTATAGGTTTGGCTACCACCATAAATATCTACCCACCTAAATATCTATCTACCTTTGCTGACCAGAACTCTATCACATTTTTTCCTGGAAAAACATTAATGGAAACCAGCGAATTTAATGACTTGGCTCTGTTTATACTTTAGGAATACTACAAAAACAGACTAAAAGTACAATCTTGCCTTTGTAGCAAAGAGAAGATAGAGGGTATAAAAATACAAATTTTAGGTTCAAGTGGGAAAGATGCTGGTAGAACATTTAATAGACTCTAAGAAACTACTGAAGGATTTGGCCAGGAGAAAAGGTAAGTATGTTTAGCAAAAACTTGCTAGCTCAAGGGCAAACCAGAAAGACACAGGACCATATTCCAGATGCAATTCAGAAGGATTAAAACACCTGAACAAGTAAAACTTCCAGGGTGTGTTATTTTAACACAGATAATTAATGTAGTATGTCATAGTGTTACAGTAAAAGACAACGCTGGCTTTAGAATCCCTAGGAGTGTTTTTGGGTATGCTCACTTACCCCTGAGGATTCTGGGAAATTGTTTTTAACCTGAAGTGCAATCTTGAGATAGCTGCTCAGTTGCCTTAGGCAGCTGAACAGTGGATTCAAGCACAGGGGAGAGTGCTAAAACATGAAACCTTCTTTCAAGTGCTCCTAAGACTCCAGCCTTGGGGCAGCAACCACATCCAGTTAGTTTCCAAATCATGCTGGATGCAAGAAGTGCAGCCCAAAACTTCAGTATGGTGAGCAATCAATTGGAGAGGGTAACCAGATCCCTACAAACACTATTCAGATTATCATTTTAAATAATTCATAATTCCAATTCATGTCATATCAGGACAAAAGAGTCTTTCAGAAAATGCTAACCTCAAATCCCTTTTGATGAAACAAAAAAACAGCGGTAAGCCAGAGAGGGGATTTTTCAGTGATAGCAAAGGATCTCTCTCATCACTTGAAACTACTACTTTCTATTTATGATAATATTCTGCTGTTACAGCTCAACTCCAAACCTGCATTAGCAGAACATACAAGTAGCATTACTAAGCAGCTACAGATTAAGAAACAGTAAACTTAAGGATGCCCACACATCTCAATGAAAGCACATCTATCAATTCCACAAGTTCAATGGCACCTGCTGCCTTCAAATAGCAATAAACCTGCGGCAATAGAGCCTCTACAGCCAGAGGTACTTGGGAGTTTATGAAAATCAGACTCAGTATAGTATGAGTTTTGTTTAATTCTTTACGCAAATCTTCTGCTTCCTAAAATATTTATTTTAATAATTCTGAAAAATATTCAGATTTTTAAAAATTGTTGCACAAAGTTTATATTATCTGGGGACATGGTCTTATAAATTAGTGCACACTGCCTGGATTGGGCAGAGACCCAGAAGTTCTGTCTATCCTCAGGTAGGAAGACATTTGAGGCCAGAGCCCTGCAAGGCATTATATGACAGCCCTGTGTCCCAGCAGCTGTGTGGGCTCTCAGATGAACCTGAATCAATCTTTGTAGACATAACTTAAAAAAAATCCTCTCCAAGCTTTCAATATAGATGGAGTTGGTATTTTGCTTGTGTCAGCTGTTGACCAATGTGACCAATCTAAAAGTTAATATAATCACTAAAAAAACCCCTCCATTACTTTTACAGTCTTGAGTACCAAGAGTTTATTTACTCTCTTTCTAGTGTAATTGAAAATAATAATAGATAATTAATCATTTAGAGTACCTTAAAATAATGTTTCCTGCCCCAGGTAGATGGGATTTTGCAGAATAAATACTAACCTGGATTTAAATTGAAGAATGAGATTTACAAATAACTGCACTCAAACTATCTGTGAATAGAGAGAAGTGATTAAAGAAATTCTTGGTAATTTCAGCCAGATCAAAGACTTAGGTCAATACTGACATCCTTTAACCCTCTTGCATGACTTTTGCAGACAGTTCCACAATACCAATTTTTTTTTCTACAGAGGACGGTTGTTATTGTCTCTGCACTTTCAGATGCTCTTCAGGATCGACACAGCTAGCTACTAAACCCACCACCAAGCTGAATAAATTCAATATTACCTTCGTGAATTGATTTCAGAAGGAAATTATTTGTTTAAAATGTCAGTCTTGGAATGTGAAGCATTTAGTTTATATTTTTTTTTCCAGAATAAACATTTCCCCAAAAAAAAGTAACAGAATTCCAAACACGAACCAATGACTACCTGAACTAAACTAATGTCAAGTTCAGAGAAGACAAAGAACTCCCTTGTTCATAGAACTTGTACTTTTTTCCCCTAATCAATGAAGATTTTATTATCTTCCTCAAGTAAGGATTTTGTCCAAATCCTACATTTAATTCAAACCAAGGCTACCATGTTGCTCACGTAACACATTGCAAGTCACAAAGATATGCAGCAAGTGTTTAATCTTCAGTGGAAAATCTAGTGGTTAACCATGCAAACAAATTATTTAACATTTTGCTCAGGAATCATTGCATTTCTAACTCCAGAGTGGTTAACATCTGCATGTCATTTCAGGAGCACATAGTTATGGTCAGGACATCCACAGTCTGTATCCCCTAAAGCAAAAGTGTGGCAGTTAAGGTTCTAAGGCAGTTGACTTAACCAGACCATTACATTTTCCTTCCCCTGTAAATGATCTGAGGTAATTTCGACAACCAGAGCTGGAAATTTATCCTCAGCTAAACAAATCATGAGTCTACAGAATGCTTAAATTCAGAAAAAGACTGAGAGTAACAACATGGAAATTGAAAAAAACACATTGGGTACCAATATTGAAGTAATGCTACCACAGGAAAAATAAATCTAGCACGAGACGTCTTTAAAGAGGTATCATGCATCGGGACAAAGATCAAAAGCAATTTTCCCCTCTGTTTGTGAGGACAGCAATAGTATTTCCAGTGACTTATTAAAAGACCACTGAACTGCTTATAGTCTTTTCCATTAGGAAGATACAGAGAAAGAAAGATCCTGTATGACACCCATAGGATAGGAATAATAATAGAACGTGGAAAATACAACCTGTTTGCAGCAAATTAGGATGGCATATCTAGGCACAAATGGCATGCAGTAACTTAAACACTCCTCAAAAAAAAAACCTTCACAGTGGAAACATGAAATGCATTGTGGAATAATCCATCTTTGGATGTATGTGCTATTCATGCTTTGAAATACTAGGTCAGTGAAGCACTTCTTTAAAAATTGAATATTGTAATGTCTTACATGGTAGAAAACACTTTTAGCAATTTATGCCCAATATGAAAAGAACAAAAGATGTACAAAGATAATTCACTTCTGTGTTTGCAGAGGCACAGCAAAAGTAAACAAAGGACTGCAGTGTAAGAGGCTCTGGGAAAGCTGGTAGTGACACAGAGCCTGTAACTGCCTTTGTACAACTCCCGTGCTACGAGCACTTAGTTTCAGTAGCTCTGGGTCAGTGGACAGATTGCTTTACCCAAGAAGTCTTCTCCCCACCTGTGGAACTTCTCTGAAGCTTTAAACATGGAGGTCCACATGGCCCAAGAATGGCATGACAGGATCTTCTCTCACATCATTTCTAATAATTCTGCATACTTCAGGAGCAAAATCCTCCTCTTAAATCTACAGTCTACTCTTCCTATAGCTATGAACATATACAGAAATTTGCTGTGCACTGAAAATCAAAGTGAGTTATCCAAACTTGAGAGAGTAGCTCCATTCTTCGAAAATTTTTCCCGAAAGTTAGTACCAAAGAATCTGCAGTTGAGTATTTGTTCCTTATTTAGCCATTTTATTTTGTTAACTTTTAAAACACAAATACAGTTATAAAATAGCACAACTTAGGATAAATTGGAAAATGGTATCATTCAATTATAAAAAAGATCTAATGGAGACAAAACTTGGCATGATTTATACTTAAAGAGAAGGTTATTACAAATATGTTCTGTAGTATTCAATGGTGTTCTGTGGTGGCATAGAGATTTCAATGAATCACTAGATTTCCTCAGAAATATCACTATTGATCTCATGGACAGAATCTGACAACAGCAGGACCCAATTAATAATACTGCAGTTTTCAAAGAGATATTCAAAACTTACACACCCAAATTCCACTGAAATATGAGCATCCAGTTCAAATTAAGTTTTTTAACATCTCTCACTATGATTCTCCCAATCCCAAAGCACACTATAATTCCTTCTTCTAAGACAGGCTTTGTTATTATATCACCTTTCTCATATAGCTCTTCCATCGCCCTCCAGGTTTCAGCTCGGACCTCTCGATTGCTTTTACCTGGAACTTGTGCATCAGGCCAGTGAATCAAATAAAGATCTAAAAAAGAAACAGAACCAGACTGCTTATTAAAGTGTCCAAAAAATAAACGTATCAAACCACATGAGACAGCATTTTCCCTCCACAGTGGCCCCTAACACATCATAATAATTCCAATTACTACTCAGTAGTCATTACTGGATGCATCCAGTTAGTTGCAATAAATTAATTCTATAACATCACATTAACAGCTAAGGGAAGCCGAAGTCACACGTGTTCCACATGTTTAGTTCACTGTAATCAGAATTTCATGGTCACATATGCACTTAACATAACTTTCCACACATAACAAAAAGTTTAAATCAAAAGTATTTTGGTCACTGGACTTATGGGTGGACTACTACTTATTAAGTGCTGCAAGTCTTCCATTTCACAGAAGATAAATATGTTTGACAGTTCTGCAGATATTTTATACAACCTCAGCAGCGGGTCTGTCTTTTTCCTTTCTAAAGAATAATTATGAATTTCTGTTGGAAACTATAGCACATTATTTATGCAGGTTTTTTTTGTCTAAGTTTCATGTCAGCCTTTGTGAATTTTTAAAGAAATTTTTTAAAATCGTATTTTAATAGAACAAAATTATGCTTTATTACATTTTTTTGAATATTAGCATGATTTCAAACACAATTAAGATTTACTGCTAATGAAATTATCATAGAACCTTTTCCTAACATCCAACCCAAACCTTCCCTGACACTGCTCCATGCCATCCCTTGGGTCACTGGTCACCAGAGAGAAGGGAGCAGTGCTGCCCCTCCACTGTCCCTTGTGAGGAGGCTCTTTGTGCGCTGTCTTCCTGCAAGAGAAGACTCCTTCGATTGAAAAAGGAAGCATTTCCAACATAAATTAAGAAATGTATATGTACTGGACTCAAGAGTTCCAAATCAGATTTAAATTTAAAAAATCACAAATCTATAACTCCTTTACAAGTTTGTTGTTAGACATTCTGAAGGAGAAATATAGAGATACTTGGAAAACAATTACATTTCTATTTAAATTCTAACTGCAGATTAAACAGATAACTGCAGGTATCCAAGTAAAACAGGTTTTGGCCTTTGCTGCATATATTAGTCTGATGAGAAACGGGAAAAGAAAATAAATAGATGACTGCAATGTGTACCATTTTTGGAGTGTTTTTATAATATTCCTTTTCTGGCAGTTCAAATAGAGTAAAGAACTAAAAAACCCAACTTGTTTGCAATGAGAAGAGTGTTTTGTTCTTTGAATACACGACGCCGTTCATTTACAGGACTTCTTTGTGAAAATACAGATCCTCTGCTTTGGGAATCATCACAAAATGGGAAAAAAAAAAGAAGAAAATTCCTCTTATTCACAATTTAAGGATTACACTAATGATTACTCTAACCATGGGTCCCTCTAAAAATACAACTTCAACCTTGATTTAAGATGAAAATGTAGTATGAAATTAATTATAATATACCAGCTCCAATTTTGGTACATCATTGCAACAACTAAGTGCTTTACTTACCTTAAGAATCTAATTAGAACGGTACAGAATTCTGTACAGAAAATACATTAGAGATGTAGGAAGAAAAACATTATTTTGGATGTATCACAAAATCCACAAGTTCCATTTGCACTTCCTGATATCAACCACCCATTTAAATACAATTTTAAACTCTCAGACTTTTAAAGACACTAGCTCAGAAAAGCCAATAATCACTCATATGTGATCACCTGCAGCATCTGGTTTTGCATCACATTTAAGGAAAAAGTTGCTCGCTCTTTCCCATTTTATCCATAAAATCCACTTCCAATTCCATATGCAGTCTTATTGACCTAAATCTACCTAATTACTTCTTTACTAATTTCTCTGAGCAATGAAGCTGTATTTGTTAAAAGTAAATACCAATATGTGGTATTGGAATAAAAACCAATTCTGTGACATTTAACTGAAAACTAGTATTGGGATATTGATTAAAGCATTTGGTGAAGTTATGTTCAAAACTCAGGAGTACTCACATCCTGTTGCCAATAAACTTTCTACTGATTTATAATAGACATAAACCCAAAGGATTACCTTTAAGAATTGCTAATATCAAATGTTCATTTTGATCCAAAATGATACATGCTACTGGCGCTACTTACTGCATAGAGACTGCCATGTTTGTTTTTAAACTTTTTTGCTTGTATAAAGCAAGTGTCATATATAAGCAGGTGTAAATTACTGGGATCTGATACCTACCTCCCAGAAAAATGTAAGAATTACACCAGAATTAAACCAGACTAATAAGAACTGCTTAACTATTAAAAAAAAAAAAAAAAGTCATTCAGCAAAAATAACCAAACTTCTGTAGAATTTCACCACCAGTTACTGCTTCAAAAGCCTGACAATTCAGTTAGACACCAGAGTTTGCAAATACTCACAGAAAGAGTTACATAATGGATTTCCACAGACATAGATGCATTGTACTCAGCTCAGGAAACTGAAACATTGTCCAAAGAAAGACTTTCAAGAGCTTTGATAACTGAAAGATCTCTGGCCTTGGACATCCAAGAAAATACAACACATCCCCTTTCTCTGTATTAGTGTCTGAGGCCTCTGATGCAAACAAGATTAGCTGTTGGTCCTTTATTGTAGAAAGGTTTTCTTACCAGGTACACCATGCCCATATCATCTAATTATGTTTACATCAATTTAGGCTTTTTCATTGAAATAAAAATTACTTCACATTTTAAAATATTGGCATTTAGGACTAGAAAGCATCTCCTGGATCACCAGGTACAGTCTTCCTGACTGCAAAAAGTGTTCATGAAAGATGTGGGGCAAAGGTGCCTTATCTCATAGACAAAGAGTAGAATAGTCCTTCTGCCAGTCATGTGTAAAGCACCCCAGCACAGCCAGGACCTTACTTCTATTGCAGCTGTTAGAAAACTTTCCCTCATACCTGCAGGCCAATAAAAACAAGCGCCTCACAAACCAAGGTCTGTGATTTCATCTTTATTTGTACACACATTCACACCTTACACCCACACACACATTTTCTTTTGCTTAAAGTATTTTCCCTCCTGGGCTACTGTGAGAACACAAACACTCTTAAATTCCTTTTGGAGGCAAGAAATTAGCTTTAAATAATTGACTGAAATAGCTTAAAGTTATAGTAATCAAGAAATATATAACTTTATCACTGAAGGTTTTTAAGAAAAGACTACATTTTTGTTGAGAATGAGGTTGGTGTCTTGTAGCATGGGAAAGATTAATCAATATCTTGAGATGCCTTCTAACAATGTATTTTTAAAAAATAATCTTAAATCAAAAAATCCACCTTGATTCACAGTATCAGGAGAAAGAAGGAAAAAACCTCCAAACTTTCACAATCTGGTTTCGTATTTAACAGCTTTTTAAAACATCCTTTGCAGACAGTCAGGCTGCAATGGTGCAGCAGTGAGCAGAGGCCTGAAGGTCATTAAATGTCAATGCACAGTGGTGCAGAAAAAACTAACACTTGAGTTGCTTTCACACAGACATTTAAAATAGAATGGCTTATTGCTTCTTAGCGGTTGCAGCACCTACAATCAACACACTTCCTCTTAACTGAAAAGTACAGGGCCATTTTACACATTTAAAAGCAAACATGATGTTGTTGTGGAAATAAAATTCTGCAATTCTATGCAAATTCCTAATACAATGTTTTTTTAAAAGTCAAATTTGAAGTCCTATGAAAAACAAGCCCGGCCTTCTATGAAGTCTAAAAGCAAAAGCATATTCTGCAATGCTTCCCAGCTGTCTTAATGCTGGGAATCATATTTCCTTGCTTTTCTCAACAGTCACTGTACTTAATATTGATATGAAGTATTTTTCTTTCTCTCTCAATCCTTTTTGTTTTGTTTTGTGTTTGCTTCTATTGAAGAAGGATCAATGTGAAACAATCTACAAAGTGTTTTGAAGCATTTGAGAATCTGAATTATGATAATAAACTAATTTCATGTGGTTCGCCTATTATAATGAAGATGCTGATAGTGCATTTGTCCAGCTCCAGCTGGGAATTTTTGATAGGGCAGATTTGCCTGAATGGGACAAATTTGGAATAGTCAAAAGGAAAATAAAATTGTTTATGAATTTGGTAACCCTCAAATCAGCATTCAAGAAGTTAGAAGCTTGGATCTAAATCCAAAGGAATGTATTCTGCTACTGCCAAACCTGTAAAATCTGCTCCCATTCCATATTGGTTTACTGTGACTGCTAGTTGAGGATCACATTTAGAAAATGCAAGGAGCAGAGTATCTGTTACAACCACTGACCACAAATAATACAAATTTCCATCATGTCATGGATATATAATCTACCAGCTCAAATAAAAATCTTGGAACACTGGTCTCCTAGTACCATTTGTCTGAAAAGTGTTCACTGAAAAGGCTTCATAAAAAGTATTTTACATGGAGCACTTTTTCTCTTAAAAAGCTGTGACTGCTGTCAACAGTTCACATTCCATATGCTGATAATGCACAGATTTATTAATTCCTATTAGATTATTTCTCAGGTTTCTTATTCAGTCTTTATGGATGAACAGGGTAACTCATAAGAACAATCAAGAAAATTAACAAAGACCTTAGCTGCACATTTAGCTGCCAGGGCTCCTGTAGCTTTTTCTTTTTGCACTCTTCTGAATAACTAACTTTCCCTCCAACATAAAGATTCAACATCACAGATATATTATTTAGGATCTTTCAGTTTTCTTTACAAACTATGTATCTTTACAGAAGATGTGAACCCCCACGTACTTGTTTAATACCATAGAATGAAATTAGAGAATTCTGATTTATTTGATCACCATTGATTTAGGTCACTATAGCAGACTAAGTGGCTCAGGAACAGCTTTATAAATTTTTGAGACATCTCCACATCAGTGTAAGAAGGGTGAAGAAGGAGGTAAGATAGACGAGGTTATTAAGGAACCAAAACAAAAATATAAAAAGAGGAAAAATTTAGTATGGAGACTAATAGTGCAGGCAGCCGTACATTCCTAAATTGGTCTTGGCAATATGTGCACAAGAAGTCTCAGGTCTGAACACATCTGACAAACAAGTTTTGTTTATGCCATTCCAAGGATTCACTCACATGGTGACAGCATATTTCTCGCTCTCAGATATTCTTTTTCTTCTTTCAGGAATTTCTGCTTAGCAGAAACTCTGTATTTGTGTGAGCATTTAGTCCAATCTACTACCTGAGATAATAAGTACAACTTACAGTACTAGAAGGAATCACTGCAAATGACTTCTTGGAAGTGAGTCAAGTTTTCCTCTCATCAACATTCAGCACCAGTGCCAGAGCAAGCAGAAGAAAAAAGAAAGCAAACACAAAATGTAACAAGCAAAAAACAGAGAAGAGGAATAATGTTATTTCTCAATTAAAAGGAGAAACTCAGGGCTTGCAACTTTGTTTATGAGGGTCTCATAGCAGTGACCTGCATTTGTACAGGACAAACAAAAAGGAATTTTCATTCATTTTGCATTATTCTGTACCTGTAGAGGAAGTTAAGGAACACATTTCCAGAAAGAATGGAGCCAAAGATGTGCATACAAGTATCTCTGTCCTTAACAGAAGAGACTGTTCACCTTGTAAAGTACTCAAGAAAAAAAAAAAGGCAGTGAATACAGCAGACAGCTGCCATTAACATTATACATTATTAATTCAGCAAAATTCACATCCTCATTGAAGTATATTGCTAAAATAAGCAAATATCATGTTTATTTTCATGTACCTCCTCTCCCATGATTTGTTGCAAAGAATTAATAGGCATCATTACTGCAACTCTGCCTATCTAATAAGGGAGTAATAATATCACATTTTTGACAAGGAGTTTATGATCCGGGTAAATTTACAAATGCACTGTTAGTGAAGCTTTTAGTTTTCTAAATTCTTGTAGATACTTCTAACATTTTCTCCAAAGAATATTCCATCAAACAGACCAAACCAAAGATGGTATTCAGAATTTTAAAAAGTTAAAAGATCTACAAAGTAGGTTTTAGAAAGGACTCTATTCCTTGAGAAAAAGAAAACAGATCACAGAAGACACCAGCATCTCTGTCACCCCATTCCCAATATATTATTGTAAAGCTAATGAATCCTTGTTTCATAGGTTTTGAGTGTTTTTAGCAAAATATAGAAAACTAATGTAGTTGCTCCTCAAATAATTTAACAATAAAAAATACCTTTACAAAACCTTTGCAACAAGAAAAAACACTGGACTCTCAATTGCATGCATGTGAACTTCTAGAGAGCAGAACAAGATACCTGCAAATGTGTAAATAAAGGTAGAATTTGGGTTTCGTGACCCATCTGTACTACAAAAAATATTTTTTTCAGAATTTATTCATCTTTGCAAGTACTCCCATGGAAAGCACAATAAATGAGCTATATGTAAAAATCCATACCAAGATATTCAACACCAAGTCTTTCACATGATTCCAAGCAGGCCTTTTTTGTGTTTTCATAGCCATAATCACTGTGCCACAGTTTGGTAGTTATCCAGAGGTCCTCTCGCTTCACACCACTCTCTCTGATGGCCTTTTGGATAAGCGATTCACAGCCATATCTTTTTGCTGTGTCAATATGACGAATGCCACATTTCCTCAGGGCATGGACCACTGCGGCATGGGAATAGCCACCCTGGTGGGAAGTACCTAAACACACAAAAGCAGAAGTGAATTGTCAGCAGTGAATTATGAGTGGCATGTTTTATAATTGTTTTAAATTTTTCCTTTTTCTTTTTTTTTTTTTTTAATATATTGTCAGAAAACCTTCTTATTTAATTTTCATTTCCTAATAGTAAAGAAATGGGAACTGACTGATCTTTAGGCTTGGAAAATACATGAAGTGGGAGAAGATGGTGCTGATCAGAAGCAACTCCATCAAAATCAAATATCAACAGCATTTAAATGCAGAGAAGTGATTCAAGGAGGTAGGCTGAATATCATCAAAGAGAAAACATACTTTATGGAAATTTAGTATATGTCTCTTAATTTTCATACAGAAGCATAACATTTATAGATTAAAATATTTTTAAAAACATGAAAACCTCAACAACTTTTAAAGTTATTTACTTTGCAAAAATCTATTCCGGAATCTTTACTCTGTTGAACTCCTGGTAGCTTGAGATCGTTATTGCATTGTACAATCCAAGGCTGGGCCACAGTGCAGGTGCCATTCACATAATGTCAAATTCAGCAGTAACCAAAACAATGGAATCTTACAAACGAGTTACAGAATGGGCATGCAGCGAGTTTCAGTAACAAAATCCTGTTACACTGTCATCGTGTGGGGATTCACTGGACGGACGTGTATTTTGCATGTCAAGGGGACGGAAGGAGGAGGAGACTCAGCAGGAAGAGCAACCAGCAGGAGGACTCCAGATAAAGAACTGGTTGAGAGCAAGGAGGATGATGTTTCTACTTACCCTTTCCTGTTAGTTGTTTTTCCTGCCATAAGCCCCTCACCCATTCACCCTCACTCCACACACTTCCCACAAACAGTATTTTCTACAGTTTGTTGGAGGAAATGCTCAGCCAGTTCCAGTCAGTTCCCAAAGTCACCTCCTTCCAAGCTGATTAGTACTTAAAGGCCCTCATGCCATAAACAACAGGCAGTAAGAAATCAGCTCCTCACAGACTTGAGACAAGGCCCTGAACAGGCCACCGCAACAGGGCTTCAGCCATTGCTAAATCTAAATAAATGAATAAAGGACCCCAGGTTAAAGAATTATTTAAAGTGAAATGTGTACCTGCTCTTATGCTTCTCTTTCCCTCCAAACATGGTACTTATTTCAATGCTCAAAGTCATTTAAACTAAGATACAACATGGTCTGATCTCCCACCCAAACACATCCAGGATCACAACATCCTTCTGATCACAAAAGGACAATTTTCACTTTTCATTTGAGACCAACAAAATGTGGAGTAGTGAATTCTTGACTTATCTTTGTGGATTTTGAAGTGATGAAACTGTAATATTACATCCCTACAATTTTGACATGCACATCATAAGTAATTTACTTTCCAAACATAAACAAAGTTTTCATGTTCTAAAAGACAAAACTTTAAATCTTCTTTTTTCAAAGCCACTAATAATAATTACTAGTTGGCTTAACTTCTGAGCCAACTAGAAATAAATGTCTCTAAAACTTGTTTTACATCAAAATAACTTCAGCTAAGTCAACTTGGTTTTCAAAATAGCTATTTCAAAATCCTCATGAATTTTAAGAATTTTTAGTTTAAGAATTTTAGATTATTACAATGCTACTACATTACAATTATGGGCAAAGACTATATATGCAATTTTACATTATTCAAATCCTACGGGAATTTTATTACAGAATTATATAACTAGCACAGAAAAATTACTATACTTCTTCACAACAAACCCTTCACTTTTAATATGCTGGTACTGGTGCAAAATAAATGAGGTTGTAACTATTGTGTCTGTTTCTGGCTGAATGGACATTTCTAAGCACAGAATGAATGGAGTTCATTTAGAGGTCTTGCAAATGGACTCAGACTCTTCATGCATAATGGATTTCAGTAAGAACATTAAGGACAAACAACTTTTTTTTTTTTTCTTAATTTAACCCTTTAATTTAAAGGGAGAGAGTGGTTAAGAAGGAAAAATCAGAATAATTTTGTTATTGTTCCCCATTCAGTGATGGTATGCACACTCGTTACACAAGAAATAAAGACAGCAAGATCAAGCTGGAGGAAATTATCTCAATTTCTATGTCTAAAAATGAACTACAACAGTCCTGGTGCACTACACAGTAATTAAAAAGGAATCAACAATTATTTAATATTACCACTTTGCAAGCCAACTTAATCCTGAACAATAGGCTGATAAGTTAATTTTGCTACAAATATAACATTTCGCATCTTCAGAAACCACAGTTTTCTTGTGTTCACACATGTGATTAAAGAAGTTACAAGTCATAAATACAGAAAGATGACAAAAATAAAGTGACTGAACTTACTAATTATTTTTCTATTAGAAATTCAAACAATGCTATTTGAACTCATTAACATTTTTACAGGTTTGGGATTCATTCCCCTTTGCTCACAGAGATGTAATTCACACTGAACATACATACTTAAAGACAGAATATAATCATGCATTTAAAACTAGTATGAACCTGCACCCTTTCCATCCCTTTCCTATTTTTAAAAATATTTAATAAATTTTTTCCCTAGAATTTGCTGATAAGAAATAGGAATTCCTTTCAAGAAACTATCTCAAATGTAAGTAAGTTTGGGAAGGCTTCCTATTTTTTAGCTAATATTTTAACTTATTTCCTAGGGAAATAGCACTGTTACCTCACTGACTGAACTAAGCCAAATTTGACAGATTGCAAGACGTGCAAGACAATTACATTCCTATGGATTTTGTGAAAAACTGGTGGTTGTAAGGGACAAGGATACTGCAGTGAAAATATGGATAGGTCAGAGGACACAAATCCATGGAAAGCAGGCTTAATTGGTTACGCTGTTATTTTGTCAGTTACTCACCACTTTCTCAGTACCCTGAAGAACACTGCCATCAAAACTGGAGTGAGAGAATGTTCTGACAACCCATAAAATTATACAAAGATTATTAGAAAGACAGACTCCTGTTTACAATGCAGCTGCTACAGGGGAAAAAAACCTGACATGTCATTCAGCAACACCACTCCCAACACCTCAAAAACAGAAAATCAGCAACATCTTGACCCCTGACCCCACCAAATATGTAAAACAAGTAACGAGCCACCCGCTATCCCCCCTGCCAGATTTATGCACAATCTCAGCTCAGCCTCATTAAACTTTCTGTTCTCCCTCACAAAGCTTCAGAACTACAGAGAGAGAGATCCAAAGCACCAACAGTTTTTCAAAACAGAGCCAGGATCTGCTTTCTCTCCCTGCTTTCTCCCTCTCTCTGTGGCAATGTGAAACAATTATTCATTTGAATATACAAAAATGTCCAGTGACATGAATAACTTTGGCTACTTGATTCCAGTGAAATAACATTAGGAAAGTTCCAGCTGGTGAAACCCCAGCCAGAATATTTAGAGATCACATCAGAGATTAATGATCTTCTGACATCAGTAGTAAATTTTAAAGAGTTAACAAGGACAACACCTGTAAAAATACCATTCCGTGCTTTTTTTTTATCTCCAAGTAATCACTTAAAAACTCTCAAAAGCAAAAGCTCAAGCATTCTTTTTTCAACTTTTACACACTCATTGTGTATATATGGTATTGTATATCATACCGGGCTTGAAATATTTGATTCTATTAGTTTTATTTCTGCTATTTCAATATTACATCAATAAAACACATCTTATGAATATATTGAATTTTTTGGTGTTCATATAGTTTGATCTCCAAATTACCTTATGAGAAAATGTGACGATAAAACATAACACATAATGCAAATGAACATATAACACATTTCAAGGTTGTTAATGCATTCACAAAACCACATGCCTCTTCCGAGGAAAGGCTCAAGGACAGACAATCCTTACTTGCTGTCTGTCTTATATCCTCCTTCTGATTTTGTATTCATATGATCCTCTGACAAGCTGACTAAGATTGCTAAATGGCCAAAAAAAGAGAGTACAGTTTCAGAATTATTCATGAACCTGAATAATTCCTCAGAGAGGAAACCCACTAAAAGGGATGGAGCAAAACAAGTTCCCCCTTTAGCAGCAGCAGTTAAATAATTTGATTTAATAAATGCTTTTATTCAAATTAAAAAAAATAAAATAAAATAAAATAAAATCACACTTGTGTCCTAGCCAGTCAACAAAGAGCCAGAAAGACCTTCTCCATGAACTTTTCTCCTGAAGCCATTCTTTCTGTTACATTTCCCAACACCATCCCTACAGCTGCTCTCAGACAAGCTGATAATTTTACACTAACTTTCTATTACTCCAGCACTAAAACCCAAGTGTTCTTACTGCCATAGTAAACTATTTGGCATAGTTTTATTTAACAGGGTCAGTTACTCTGAAAATCCTATGCAGCTTCTGATGACACAGTATTCAAGGATCCTCTCTCTTCCTAGAGTGTAGTGCTTCCCTCTGCAGCAGGTGAAACTAAAGTCAATCTCACTATGAGGTTACCACACTCTACAATTCTCATGAGGCAACCAGAGACTATTTCAAGGTAAGAGATCCACATTGAATAACAATTACTTTTACAAAGTAACTTGGATATTTTATTCAGAGTACAGGACTGGCACCCAATGCGCATATAAAATAGGGCAGCTACTCCTGAGGGAATGGAGCCTATGGAGACAAAGGGCTTCTGGACAAACTGGAAGGACACCATCAACAATAACTTAAAGACACTGAGCAGACTCCCATTTTGTAATCAATGGTTTATAATTGGTCAGAGCAAAAGCAGCACACTGGTTTAACTAAAACTCAGTCAGTTAATGCAAATTTCTCTTGCCTCTGTAGAAGTTATTTGGATTATGAATGGTTTAAGTTTTTTAGTATCTAAGTTTTACTTCGGTAATGCTTCCCATTCTTTTGTTTGCTTGTTTGTCTGCTATATATGATCCATTGCTTAGTGCAAAGGTGTCACTCTGGGAGTGTTTTTCCCCTGTGCAACTCAGAACACACTAATAGAGTTCAGTAACATAAGCAAAAAAAAGTAAG